TACATCCGCCAAAACCAGTCCTTAAACCAGCTCTGCCAAGTTACAACCGGGAGTACGGCACACTCGTTGTCCCAAGCCCTTAGAAGGTCCTCATCCCTAGAAAAGTGTTTTCGTTTGGTGGAGGTACCATTCTTGACTTTGGCAGTAGGTTTTTCATCGACTCTATGACTTTAGGCAGGCACTGTTCCGTGTACCACTGAGCTGTGACTGTCGTCGCGCTCGATTTGAAAAATACAGCTATGATTTTTTTCTTAAAAGATTGGCATTTTCTGATAGCTACGGGTGTACCCTTATCTGAAAGACCCAAACTTTGTTTTGAGCCTTGGTCGGTACATCGTAATAATAGAGACAAGTCTCGTCATCTAGCAAAGTAGTGGTATAAGCTTTTGGTAAAGGAATCGTTCAGCCATAAAAGCTCTCTATTGTTGTTGCCTGATCACTAAAATGCTGGCTTAATGCTGTGTGGAATGCAAATCTGCTTTCTGCAACATATTTGTTCTAAAGTGAGGTGTTTAAAATATTCTTATAGCATAGTTATACAACACCTTATAGGGCAAATTTTTAACTGTTGCATATACGCCTATACAACTATTTTGTACGGCATATTTGCACGTTAGTCAAAATGGTTGTGTTGTGGCATCCATGGTAACGCTTATAAAACAAACCCGAGCCTTGTTGTTTTGCTGTGCAATTTACTACTTTAGCCAACAAATTGCTCCCAACGGAAGCACTTATACAACTATTGTTTAGTAACTGTTAAAGGCTGTACATATGCTAAATATGTTGGTATACAACTTCACCATAACCTAACTTTCTGCTGTCATATTTTTGTTAAAATGCCATAACCAATGTTTTAAGACAAACAACGCATGCATATTGGTTCAAAATGTTTTATCAACTGTTCAAACAGAAGATATAGATCTGGTACAAATTCTAGGTAAATCATTCGACTCTATCCGTATTTCTTTCAGAGATTTGTCAAATTGTTGAATAACACCTGCAGGCAACACCAAAATATTCTAATAACCTAAAGACAACATGGACGATGCCATGATTATACACAACCACCCGCCATATTGGGCAAACATTTATTCCTCTATTTAATATTAAATAATTATGTTTCAGTTCGAAATTACAGATATAAAGTGATAAACATTAGTGTAATTGTGTCTAAATATAGGATTTGTGGAAGATTTAACGCAGATAAGTTCAGTTTTCCATCTTAAAAATCTATACATATTTTTGATCATTATCAAAATGTGAATCAAATACGAAGGACGTAGAAATTGCGTAACTAATTTGCACGATAATCACAATAAAATTTGCTGCACAAGTAATTCAATAGCCCTATATCACAGTGTAGAAGTTTATCATATACCTGTGTATGAAATTCACAATGGCCGATATGTAAGTAAACAAGATGACTGTAATGTGTTAGTTATATATTCTTCTTCGTCTATACAATACATAAGAAATAATTTGCTTGCAATAAAGTAGAATCACGTAACAGAATAGTTGTATAGTTGACAAAAACTGAATCTTGCACTGACGCAGATGTCCTATAGCGGCTGCAAGAGGCTTACACTTTTGTTGTATAACTGTTACCTGCAGCCCTTATACAACCTCTTAAATGACTGAAGTGTCTTATTAGGTGTGCATAGCAGTTCTAAGAGGGGTTTGCCAATGTTCTTACAGTATACAATGCTGTTTAAGGAATACTGTATAATCATTCTTGCAACTCTAATAGGAGTGATAATTGTTAGTTGGTCTGTCACGATGCTGTTCATATATCGAGATTACCCCTTATCAAACATGTTCAGCATCTTTCGGCACCAAAAGTCATACGACGAGTCTTCTGCTATTCCGTCAGACTATGTGGTACCCAGAGAGAACAACTATTCCTTACGTATAAATGGTCATGCAGAATTGGTGCATGAAGGTGTAAAGTCTCCTCTATCTGTTGGTATGTCACTCTCCGGTCTTCGTCAAGCATTTTCCTCACAGCAGTATTGCTTTCCTCTGTTACTGACGTTCGCGGCCTTTCTTCCCCCTCAGCTTCCTCCAGAGTGAAATTGCCCCTTAGGAATTATCAGTACCCCCTGAATATAGCCGTACGATGAGATCAATCATTCTTTAATGCAAACGTCATTTCTTCTAAGCACTGGTCAATGCTTAAACAACGCGTAAATTTATACCGTAAAACTGCCCTTATCTCACTACGTGACCACGATGCCATAGTCCACACTTTTCACTGTCAATACGAATGAACAACTAAATCAACTGGCGGCTACTATGCACTCATGGACATGTCTCAACATGCAGTAACATGCAGCCTCCTGCATCCGGTTATTAAGTCATATTGCAAAGCTTTTATAGTACCCTTTGTAGTAGTGGTAGGGAGGCGAAGCCTGGCAACTAGGACACCTTTGACCTTTTGCCGATCCCATAGTACCAACATTGTAATACTACAGAAGCCACGTACTGGTGGTAACTGATATGAATAAACCGGCGATGCGGTGTTGATCTTGCGTGATATAGACAACACACGACACATCATTCATGACTCGGAATTAACGTCAGTGGCGGAGATTTAAACCTACGAGCCTCGGGTCGACCTATTAGTAGCTCGACGCGCTAATCACTCGGCTACCCAGACCCCACCTCGTTACCTCTAAATGATCTAAAATAATAGCCCTAAGACATATACAGGATGACTTCGAAGTTGAGTCATTTATTTTAACAGTGAGTAGATCTGATCAAAAGAAATGTTTTTTTCCTTTACCATTTTTCTGGTAAAATTAAAGTAACAAAGTTATAGCCCTTTGGAAGTTTGAGTACCGCCCTGTCTCAATAATAATATTATGTGCTCGTGTTTGGCAACAACGGATATAATCCGCCGTATCGGTTCATCGCATCGGAAACAAAAAAGCGAAAGAATTTGGAACGATGTTTTTACAATTATTTTATTCATTTGTATACAGTCAGTGCCAGTGAATAGTGGTGTCTGTTGCGTGACTCAAACGAAATAAAAAATGGCACATGTTTATGCGGATCGGTTTCCCAATCGAGTGCAACCAACCCCTCGTGCCTGTGTTAATGTAGTACAACGGGCTCGTGAATCAGGTGACGGCATGCCGGTGCTTCAAGACCTCACGATCAAATACAGGTCCGCACTGAAATACTTGTCGGGAGGATACTTTATAAAACAAGGTAAAATTTTTTTTTAATTTTTTTTTATTTTTACACACATATTTTGGTTTATCTTCCTTCTACAATCATTATCTGAAAATTAATGACTGAAGTTCAAAGTCACCCTGTACTTGTAGAACTTCCATCGCAGTTCTGTTTGTACTCGTATTTTCTTCTGTTATAAGCATGTTTCCATCAAAGGCTGATTAAATCGTATTCAGCAAGGTAAGGTAAGCTGAAGCATTTAATAATAATATCATTAATAACAAAACGTCTTTATTCAACATTAAAGGGAAATTAAAAATATAGAAGTAATGCAATGACAAAATTATGAAAGTCCTAGGTTCAGCCTATGCTGCTTTTCAACTTAGCCTATAGTATCAACAATAATAATAATAATGTTTCGCATGAGACAGTTTTTTAATAAATTTTTCTTTTGAACTATATTCTCAATACATGCCTTAATATCGTTCTAGTAGCTTTTCCAGCTTATACAGACTTTACTGTATTCATCGTTGCTATATAGACGCTTCAGAATAAGCACCAACGTGTACGAAACTACCACATGAAGAAAAAGTTATACCAAATAAGATAATTTCAATCGGCATAAGTATAGTTTTTAACTGCAGCTGAAAATGACCCTACCATGTAGTATAATGCTGAAAAACTCACCCAACAGGCCAGTGTTTACGACCAACGACTGTTTGACTTTCAACACCAACTCGTTACAAATTTAAACAATAAAAAGGTACAAACAGTTAATTAAATATTTACCTCCAGATAGGTGCATCTCAACGCAGCCCGCAGTGAAGTGAAGAGAACCAAGACTTGAATGTGTGTGGTAGTTGAAATTTTTTTAAGAGATCGTCAGTCGTTGTTGTAGGTACTATTATAGTATACGGAATGCTGAGAGTAGCATCACAGCATATCTAATACAAATCACCATAACTCCCTACGAAATGGGGCTTCGCGCATCTGTCAAAATTACTACTTTAGCCAACAAATCTAGACATATTTTTGATCATTATTAAAATAGGAATCAAATTCGAAGCCCGTAGAAATTGTGTCCCTATTTTGTAGTATAATCACAATAAAATTTGCAGTGAAGAAGTTTATCATATAATGGCCGATATGTAAGTAAACAAGATGACTGTAATGTGATAGGATGAAAATATTCTTCACTTCGCCTATATAATACATAAGAAATAGTTTGTTTGCAATAAAGTAGAATCATGTAACAGAATGGTTGCATAGTTGATAAAAATTGAACCTTGTACTGACGTAAATGTTCTTTAACGACTTCAAGAGGTTTACACTTTTGTTGTATAACTGTTACCTGCAGCCCTTGTACAACCGCTTTAAGTGTCCTATTAGGTGTGCCCATTCCGCTTGCATAGCTGTTGTACGAGCATTCTACCATTGCTCTTGCGACATATAATGGTGTATAATACGGAGTAATCGATCTTGCAACCCTAATAGCAGTGATAATTAATTGTTAGTTGGGGAGTCAAGGTAATTCAATGAGATGTCAGGTAATCGTGGTGGTCGAGATCGTCGACGACGTGCGATGATGTATTGATACCAGGACTGCAGTGTCGGTAGAAGCATTGCTGTAGGCGTCGAATAATAAAAATACTAGGGTGAGCCAAAGTTGACTTAGACACTATGCAGCATATTCAAAGTCTATTTGTCCAGGATCGTGTGGAAAGTACAGAGTCTCTCTACTTGATGTCAATTTTAGACATTTAATAAGGTGCGGAAGGTTTCACGCAAGTGACTGTATTTTTTTAGTCTGTATACTTTGTTTGTAGGTACTGCCATGTCGCTGTCGTATGCTCATGACGACCGCGTTTCAGGCAGTTGTTTGCTCAGCCTTTTAGGGCAACCGTTTTTTATTGTTTTAGTAGGATGTGCACGGGTAGTCAGATTCTGGGTGTCTTTTTTACTAGGTGTGTACAGTGATGTAAAAAATTTTAAGGCACATTCTCAGGAATGCGCAGAAACGTAGCAATATACATATTTTGGGAGAATATATTTTTTGTTATAATGCAGTATCTGTAGTATTTATCTTGGAGCAGTCGCGAAGGCAGAAACTCGAATGTCGAGAAAAGACAATAATTGCTATAGGAGGTTAAAGATATCTCTAGGATTCAACTTTTGAACTGGCTAAGGCTTGCTTCAAAATCTCTTCACTCCAGTAATAAACTAGTTCTAAACTATTTCTCACTATACAGGATTCAACATAGATGGAATAAGAGGCAAAAGCTGCACGTGGTAGACCTAATGAAACGTCAGCTGGTACATCGATAGATACCAACTTTGCTATAATCATAATTACAATATAATTTTAATTCGCAATAACATTACAGTAAGCGAGATTTAGATACTATACCTATTCTGCCACATGACCCTCTTAACAGTATGAGATATATAAACACTAGAAATTGGTTAAAAATTAATGACTGTATATAATAATGACAATAATAAAGCATAATTAATATAAAGGCATAACGCAAAAAAACTGGTCATTTACTGGTTACAAAAGATTTCGCAGCGGATCAGGTAGATAATCTTTTAATTTGCTCTTGATTTTAGACTAGGTACGGTCTAAAGAATTATATGATTATATGATTGCGTTGTAAATATATGCGCTCTGAAATAGATGTGCTGTGGTGTGGGATTGAAAAAGTTCTCTATATCCAATATTAATGCCATGCATACTACCTCCAAGTATACATTTTCTTCCTGAATATGACGGTGTTATTTGAATGTGCAACCTTGTAAGTCAAACTTTTTATTATAATATCTAGGGACAGTAAATCACTAATCAATAAGATATTTTTGAAAACAAGGAACATTCACATAGCTGCAGACTTATGTAATGTTTAATCATTTGTATAAGCGCTGAGAACTTAGGTAGTTTATGTGTTCATCAAATTTTAAGCCATCCACATAATCTATTTTATTACCTTTAGTATTTATGCATATGATATCTTTTAAATTATTCTTTTTTGTTTTGTTTGAATAAAATAACATATTTTTCTGTAGCCTCCAGCTCGTGAGATGGTCTGGCGTCCCACTACGTCCTGGTTTTAGAGAATGCAGTGCCAGTGAGTCAAGGGGCTGGGTCCGGCTCGAGGCACCTTCCCCTACTGCAAAATGATGGATGAGTAAGGCAGTTCAATATGATCCCGGAAACAATAGAGTAACTTGGATTAAATGCTAGGCTCTCTATCATACGAAAAATAAAGTCATTCTGGTCGAGCGGAACTCAACGTCTGGCATATCCGGAACATTTCTGCCAGCAATATGCGACATGGTGAGGCGGATTGTTGACCGGCAGTTCGTAAGCGGACGACGGTGATCCGGTAGCGATAGCAGCGGCTTTAGACAATCCGGACACTCCGCTCCGTGAGAATGATGATGCATTCAAACAAGATCCCTATGCGGTGTCGCTGAGGTAGTTCAGGCAAAATAGTCGAGCTCAAAACCTATACCGTCCATTCCCTTAGCAAGGTTGGTCTGCTAGATATTTTTTACTACTAACCACAGACCCAAAGCCAATGAATCAACCCAACCTGAGAACTCGCTATTATTTTCCGCATTCCAATTAGGAGAAGTTACATTTATCACCCTAAGTGAATAATGAGTATGACTACTCGTATTCATATAGATCATATTTGGCTTGCTGAGTACAGAATAAATTGTAACTTTTGCTAAAACTTTTATCCGTTTTTTAACAGTACTGATAAATACTATTTACTAGAAGAATATTCAGAATCTGCGTATTTGATAACTTAAATTATTGTTATTGATTGCATTTACTTATCTCATTACTTTGACAGCACGAAAAATATACCTTTACTGAAGAAATTCAATGGTTATGACTTAATTTTCAATCTCGTTTGGGGCTGCGCTCTTTCATAATATTATATTTAGGGTTTATAAAGGATGGGTACAATGCATGTAATTACCTCACATCCACTAAAAATCCTCAATTTCTACAATTAATGTATTTGATTATTTTCATTACAATAGCTGGGAGATATCCCAAAAATTTAGCAATGTTTCACCAAAATGAAGCATAAACATATTCCTTCGCGCCGAGAGCCTGATGATTTGTTCTGGAGAACAATCTACCGCGAGCAAGCAATTCGGAAAATTTAATTAACCGAGATGTGTCTAAACTCAAACTGTGGTCCTTCATCCACTTTAACAACTTCCATTTTTTGTGGACTTCAGTTTGGTTTTTTGTTGAAGCCTCCACATATCAACTTCTAGGTTAAGCAAACAGTGCTTTGCTATTTTTCTTTTCTTTAACTACTGGACTATGAGTGTCTGACATTCATATCGCCAGAAACTCTACTTATAACGGGGTTGGCGTGATTACATTGCCGCGCTATCGGATATTTTAGATAGCGGGGCAGATGCCGGTGCCAAAAGTGTCAAGGTCGACCATATGCCGCACTACTACAGGTCAAGTCGCCAACCTTATGCAATTCTTGAAGAAGGTACAATGAGCTTTCTCCATCAGCTGCATTAGCATTGCAGAAGTAATGAAAAAAGAAACAAATAAAATTAGAAAAGTTGAATTTACGAACTATACATTTAATCTGATATTTGTATATTGTGATCTTGTCATGGAAGCAATTACCTGATGGTTATACTATGTATTACGTTAAATAACATGAATTCATATACCATATATTTATATCATACATATTCTAGATCAGGTACACCAAATGCGTGCTTCCTTCACGTGTGAGCTACAAACAAAAGTTGTACGATCAGAAAATATACTAAGTGACATATAAATCCGAACACCCAGTTTAAATCGTTTTATTTCAATAAAAGTTGGTGAATATATTTATCTTACTGTAAATAACAAGTGAAAAAATTTTCAGCCTTATCAGTTGGACATTCCGGTTTTTATACTGCTTTTTTTTAATTCACTAACGCTCTAAAAATGAATATTTCAGCCGCAGTAAAGAATCAACGTTGGCGGATTTTGGTTCTTGACATCCTTTACGATCGGTTACGATGCCTAGAGTACGGAGACCTGTACGATTTCGTCAACTTAGTGAGTTTGATAGGGGCCGTATAGTGGGACTTCGGGAAGCTGGACTTTCTTTTCGGGCAATTGCAGTTAGAGTGCAAAGAAGTGTAGACACTGTGGTTAGGTGTTGTCAGGCATGGCTTCGAGAAGGCCGTACGCAAAGAGCAAGGGGCACTGGACGCCGCCGTAGAACAACAGACCGTGAAGATCGCCGCCTAAGATTATTGGCCTTAAGGGACCGTTTCTCAACTACCAGGTCCATTGCAAATGAATGGTTTGCAGAACACGGAAGACCTATTGGCATGCGAAGTGTTTACCGACGAATGAGAAGTTTTGGCTTGTTTTCATACCGGCCACACTGGGTCCTCCCTTTAACTCGAGAACACCGACGTAATCGCCTTGAGTGGTGCAGACAACGGTCACTCTGGGATCAGGAATGGAACAGTATTGTCTTTAGTGACGAGTCTCGATTTTGTTTAGGCATGCACGATGGTCGTGCCAGGGTTAGAAGGCGACGTGGTGAAAGGAGGAATCCACAGTTTTTTGTTGAAAGACATGTTGATCACACTGTTGGAGTTATGGTTTGGGGTGCTATAGCTTATGGTTCCAGGTCACCTTTAATCTTCATCAGAGGTAACATGAATGCGCAGCGTTATATCCAAGAAGTTCAGGAACCCCATCTTTTACCCTATCTTGACACCCTGGCAGATCCAACTTTCCAACAAGATAATGCCCGACCACATGTTGCAAGAGTCACAATAGACTTCTTTCAACATAATGATGTCACATTGTTACCATGGCCACCAAGATCTCCCGACTTATCCCCGATTGAGCACGTGTGGGATATGATGGGTAGGAGATTGCTCAATTTTGCAAGGTCCTCCTCAGACTCTAGAAGCACTTCGAGAGGAGTTGGTGGTTGCCTGGAATGAGATACCACAGGAGGACATTGACCACCTGATCAGAAGCATGCCTTGGCGCGTTGGAGAATGCGTAGCACATCAGGGTGCATCCACACATTATTAAAGGTCAAAGGGCTTTAAAGCAGTGCAATCATTTTGAAATTTTGATCATTTACTTATTATGCTTCATTAAGTACTTATACAAAGTTTTATTAAAATAGAACCATTTAAACTGGGTGTTCGGATTTATATGTCACTTAGTATACATAGTTTGGAGATTTGTCTAATGCTAGAATTTTTGGCTAGATGCCGGAATTGGTAGTTCATGTAAAGATGTATGTGACAACGGCAAGGATAAGATCATAAATACGTATTGATGCGTTATTGGTCCAAAGCTATTCAAGTGTCTGCTTTGGAAGTCCACAAGCTGCTTCATCCTAAATAGGTGAGAATAAGTTGCCGTGTAAATTTATAAATACCCAGCTTTCGTCAAAAGAGTTATAGCTTGTCGTTTTATCTGATTCTTCGGACATATTCCCTCCATATCGTTCTTCCCATACCTGGTTTCTTACTTATGTGTATAGTGAGCATGAAATTCGCGAGAGTCTTTACTTTTTAGATAATCTTCTTCTGAAACGGATCAGTAAACTTAATATGTCTGGGTTTTAGAGGTATCGGGAGGAATATCACTTTTCAGTGCGACAAATTTTACAGTCATTACATTTTAGTCTAATAACGCTAACATAATACTGACATATTGATGAACTTGGATGACCACTGGGACAAAAAAATAGTCATTATGGATAGGGATCGTAAAGCCAAGCGAAAGCCGAAGCGCAGGTTGAAACAGGTGACACACGGTGTCACAGTAAATAGCAAATTCGAATGTGGGGTGATTTATTATTTAAAAACTTATTCACTGTAAAATTTAAAAGGCCGGCAGTAGACATATCCGCGTAGTGGATCCACTTATACATCTTTTCAGTTTAGACGAGCATTGAATTAGCCATATATGTAACTCCTGAAACTTATCCTGTGGTTTTCAAGTTCTTTTCACTCCATTGTTTGGCCGAATCAAACCACATATATGTTTTAATTTCTTTTTATTGTATGCAGTTTTGGTCACCATGGTGACTATCGCTGAATATCTCTTACGGTCATAATTTTGTTATTTCAGGGCATACGCTCATCTGCAACTTCTTCATACAGAAGAAATTTCTGACCAGAACGTCCGACGGATATACAACTAATTATGTTCCAAAAATGTGATAGCCTTCGAAATTTTATAATAGTGAGAGATGTAGATTAAGAAGTCACAAACAGGTTAATACATGGGTAGTGTTTGATTTGTGATAAGTAAATAAGTGAAAAAATTAGTATCCTACCTAATGTGCAGGAAC